GGTGCATTTCCACCCTTCAAATCAAGCTGGAACCTGAAAAGGGGTCCCTAATTCCCAAAAGGAGACCCCGAACCCAAAACCGATGGCTACCTAGGGCTTCAAGAACCTGTAAAAATGTCGTACCCTGACTAAAACATCGTGTTTTTTCTCGATTTTCTCAAAACATCGTGTTTTCAGGAAAAACATCGTGTTTTTGATAAAACCCCTTAAAACTGGGCTTCTGAGGCCAAACGCTCATTTGGAGCAAAGGGTCAAAGGCAAGGGTCGGGAGTGGATTCACACAGACATCACCCATTAAGATTTCAACTGAGGGCAACGCTCTATACTGAGTATGCTTCAAATTCTAAGGACCACATTGATGAGCCTGACAGCCAGGGTGTGCAGCTGGCTTCAGTCTTGAAGTACCTTTCACAGCAACAGGCACCTGAAGACTGGCGCCAGGTCATACCGAACCAGTTTGAAGGGGGTGCTGGAATCCGAAAGCTCCTTTTGGTGCAAAGCAAGACCAGGTGACACTTTTGAGAATGTTTTTTTTTTTTTTAAATCAATTTTGAGGTTTTTTTTAGAAAATGGGGCGGGATCCTGGCGGCTAACCGCAGAAACCCGCAGAAAACCCGTAGAAACCCATAGAAAACCCGTAGAAACCCGTAGAAAGCCCGCAGCCCCAACCGAAAACATTGTGTTTTTGGAAAACATCGTGTTTTCTAACCCGTAGCTAAACCGTGGAGAACCCGTAGTAAAGCGTGGCAAAGCGTGGAAATTCTATGGGTTTTTCGGGTTCAACCACGAATGCGCTAATTCGAGAATGTTGCTGGAAAACACCGAAGTCGTGAGCAAAAGCACGGTCTTTGCTTGAGCTTGCGCGCTGTTCGAAGCCAGCACGCCCTCATTATGGCATTGCTGCTTGACAAGTGTCATAAAACCGTGGTACTTTTGACTACCAGGAGCCTCAAAAGCCGATGAAAATGTCATACCTACAAAAAACACGATGTTTTTTGGGAAAACACGATGTTTTCGGGAAACACCGCATTTTCGATTTCAAGCAGTTTCCCATACATTCCTTCAACTCGTCATCCGTTCTCAAAAGATCTCAAAAGCATCATCTCAACCTCAGAATCTCCCATCGCCCTCCCCTTTGCACTCGCAACGAAATCAGCTTCGCATTCGCCACTCGTCTTTCGCAACTCCAACCTGAAAGAAGGAGGCCGGGGACCCAAATAGTCAAAAGTACCACGGTTTTATGACACTTGTCAAGCAGCAGTGCCATGATGAGGGCGTGCTGGCTTCGAACAGCGCGCAAGCTCAAGCAAAGACCGTGCTTTTGCTCACGACTTCGTTGTTTTCCAGCAACATTCTCGAATTAGCGCATTCGTGGTTGAACCCGAAAAACCCATAGAATTTCCACGCTTTGCCACGCTTTACTACGGGTTCTCCACGGTTTAGCTACGGGTTAGAAAACACGATGCTTTCCAACAACACGATGTTTTCGGTTGGGCTGCGGGCTTTCTACGGGTTTCTACGGGTTTCTACGGGTTTTCTATGGGTTTCTACGGGTTTTCTGCGGGTTTCTGCGGTTAGCCGCCAGGATCCCGCCCCATTTGCTAAAAAAAACTCAAACTTGATAAAAACAATCTCAAAAGTGTCACCTGGTCTTGTTTTGCACCAAAAGGAGCTTTCGGATTCCAGCACCCCCTTCAAACTGGTTCGGTATGACCTGGCGCCAGTCTTCAGGTGCCTGTTGCTGTGAAAGGTACTTCAAGACTGAAGCCAGCTGCACACCCTGGCTGTCAGGCTCATCAATGTGGTCCTTAGAATTTGAAGCATACTCAGTATAGAGCGTTGCCCTCAGTTGAAATCTTAATGGGTGATGTCTGTGTGAATCCACTCCCGACCCTTGCCTTTGACCCTTTGCTCCAAATGAGTGTTTGGCCTCAGAAGCCCATTTTTAAGGGGTTTTATCAAAAACACAATGTTTTTCCTGAAGACACGATGTTTGCAGAAAATCGAGAAAAAGCACGATGTTTTAGTCAGGGTACGAAAATTTACAGGTTCTTGAAGCCCTAGGTATTTGGGTCCCCGGCCTCCTTCTTTCAGATTGGAGTTGCGAAAGACGAGTGGCGAATGCGAAGCTGATTTCGTTACGAGTGCAAAAGGGGAGGGCGATGGGAGATTCTGAGGTTGAGATGATGCTTTTGAGATCTTTTGAGAACGGATGACGAGTTGAAGGAATGTATGGGAAACTGCTTGAAATCGAAAATGCGGTGTTTCCCGAAAACATCGTGTTTTCCCAAAAAACATCGTGTTTTTTGTAGGTATGACATTTTCATCGGTTTTTGAGGCTCCTGGTATTTGGGTTCCATGCCAGAATAGCAGAAAAGCGGAAACCGGCCGATCATCCGCGGCCTGGCAACGGTCGAGCGGGTTCAAAAGACGCGCCGTGCCCTAGGCACAAGGCGAAGGCCGTGACAGCGCCGCGCTGCAAATCGATCTTCCCAGCCATTGGTATGTTTGCAGAATACCTGGTTTGCAGCCCAATCAGGGACATGACAGAACCCTGAATGACAAAATGTCAGGGAACCGTTGGCAAAAGTAGCACTTGAAGCTTGGTCTTTTCGAAGCTCAAAGCAACGCTGGTCCAAGAAAGGGCTGCTGACAAACAAAATGCCCCAACTCAAGGCCAATCCTAGGCGAGTCAGCTGCCAATACCGTACTATCATCAAACTCGGTCCCTGGTTGCTGGAGACGAGAAAGCCCCAAAACCACTCGACTTGAAAAGGGCTAAGCTAACGATTTCGAGAACTCGGGGCGTCTAAGCAAAAGCGCTGTCCAACAGGATGAAGGCCATGGGGCCTCCCCCCATAAAAAGCCGCGTTTGCCCACACGAACAGGTCCATAGAGGTCACCCCCAGAAGCATCTGCTCCATGCGTCTCGACACCTGAACGGACACTGAGTGTCAAACCACATGAGATCCTTTCAACCCCCTCCCCAAACGCCACCCAATCCCCAAAGCGGCAGTTGGTAAACTCTAGCCTTGCCATGCGTGACTCCCGCCTCCGAGGAGGCGAGGCCCATGAACTGCATGCGCTGGGTCTCATAGCTCTCGCTCTCTGTGGCCCACCTCACGGAAAATGCGCCGCAAAACCGAACCAGGCGTCTCATGGGCAAAACTTCCTTCTCGTCCCCCTGGGTTTGGATGGTGGCTCATCTGTATAGGGAACCCCCAACATTTCACATGAATCCACAATGACGTCAAGAATCGGATCCCCAAAAAAGATGGCTATTTGGGCGGCCCTGATTTGTTGATACACAACCTACACCCCAACAACAAGGAAGCGACCAACAGATTTGGGATCATAGCCCTTTTGCAAACACCACCACACCTTTAGCTTCGGCCAAGTCGCACACAGGTACTGGGAGCAGCGGATCAAAACAACACAACACAACACAACACAGGACAGAACAAAACAACACAGAACAGAACAAAACAACACAAACGAAACCAAACAAAACAACACAGGACAGAACAAACACAAACGAAACCAAACAAAACAACACAGGACAGAACAAAACAATACAGAACAGAACAAAACAACAAACAAGCACATAAACAGGCAGGCAGGCAGGGAGGCAGGCAGGCAGGCATACCGGCAGACAAACGAACAAAAAACAAAAGACACACACACACACACACTTTGGCCCTCCACTACAATTGGGGCTGATTTCATTGGTCCGCCCTTTGCTGGCTGGTCATTTCGGAAAAAAAAAAACTATGGCAACGGCAATTTCCCGAGACCAGCCCCCAGTTGAACAGCATTGCAGGCAAGGATCATGAAGGGCTATTGTCAGCCAGGCGTCCATGTCTGACCGGCATCTCCGAGCCGAAGCCTGCTAGCTCCTGGCGCCGTACGGCAGGTGGAAAACAAAACCCAAGAGAAGCCGCCTCCCTCCTGTCTTGTACCATGCAAAATGATGCTGACGCCCGGCAGACTTGCGGCCTTTTGATGGAGCAGGCGCGTGAAACCTCTTTGCAGCTGCAACATGTGCAACATGAGCCAACTTTAAGAAAAATCGAGAATCCAAGCGCAATGGTCCATGAAAAGCTCTATGGTTGACATGCCCGAGGCATACTGAAGAATCACTGAACTCGTCAATACTCCTCGACCATTGCATGGGACAAGATACGCAGGTGTCTAGTAGCAATTGGCTCATTTTGGGCTGGGCATTGCATTGAACACCTCGGTAATCTGAATTCTGAATCAAGCCTTCCCAGGCAGCAGGGATACCAGCCGAGGAATCCTTCACTCCAGCCCGGCACATTCCAAACTGCATGCGACACTGGTGCGCCTTCTCAGGCGGGCGGTGGTGGGGGTGCAAACGGAGGGGGCGGGGGCGCAAAAGGTGGCGGCGGGGGTGCTTTCACCGGCGCCGTGGAGATTGCACCTTGGCGGACTTCCCACAGCACCTCCTGCACTGCCGCCGCGAAAACGGTCTTCGCCTCTCTCGGCTCAGTCGCCACCGACAGGCGCTGCAGGTGTGTGCTGGACCTCACCCAGCTCGACGTCCACACCTGCCGCTGACTCGGGGCAAATCAATCGTTGCAATGCGCGCCGCATTGGCCTGCATTCTGCATTGCTTCTAGGCCCGCATGAACAGCCAAGTTGTCAGAAAAATGGATCATTCTCCATCAGATCGCAGAACTTGTTTTCGCTGGCTTTCTCATGACTATCTAGCTGCCAACAAAGTGGTTTTCCACATCTTGACGTGAGCCTGACGCCGAGACAGCGCGGCCTCGGCCACTGCGATGGCGTCGTACACCAAAGTGGCCAAGAACACGGCCGTCGCAAAGGTGTTGACTCGGCAGGCTGGGTCCTGCATTGCCGCCAAGCGCTGCCTCAGCCGAACCGCGGCAATGCAACGCATGCAAACTGCCTTTTCTCGTGGCGTTGTGGGAGGATGGTTGAAATCATGTCTTCGAAAGGCGACAGCCAATCCAAGCGTTTCAGACTTCTCCTGTCTTGCCATGTCTTGCCATGTCTTGCCATGTCTTGCCAAGCTGCATGCGAATGGGCCCGCCCTGCACGAGTTCAGGCGGCAGCGTCCAACGACAGCCCGTGTTCCTCAGCGTTTCCGGACAAGCTCTCGTGGCCAGCTTTGTTCTGTCTTATCTATCAGGACGAGTTGGCTGGCGAAGACTGGCTGGCGAAGCCTCCTTTGGACCCACAAGTATCACATTTCCTTTCAATTCAAAGCTTGGCGTCTCGTCGGGGGCCATGTACGCGTCCATCACAATCAGCTTTGTCTCATCACCGCGCTTGTTGATGAGCACGTCGCTGCTGTGGAGGTCCCACAGGATATGGCCCACACTGCTGCAATAACCTTCCAAAGACTGGAGCTGCAGTGCTACCTTCAGGGTTCGTACCCTAGCCCTACCTGTCAAGTGCCTGGAGTCAAGTGCCTTTGCAGGAAGAAACCTACCTGCATGCCCGACAGAAATCCGGGGTTTGCAATATGCCGGAGGATGCCGGAGGAAATGTTACATGACCCAGGCCTGGGCACGTGCCTCGGGCAGCAAAAGAGGAACGCCCTTCTCCCATGGCCAGCCAGCAACCAGCTGCCACACAGTGGCATTCCCAACGCGCTCCAATGGCTTCACCAAGTTGGGGTGACCTTGGGCAATTCAAATTACTGAATTGAAAATTCTCCGCAATGCTCTTTGAGATCTCTAGGCCGCCCACTCAAGCCGCTGGCGCGCTGGAACTCCTCTTTCAGGATGTTGCCAGCGAGGCTTGGCATTGGCCCGTCGCAGCGTGGAACCTTCACAGCCACGCACTCGCCAGAGCCTTGCAGCTCTCAGATTTGACCACAGCGATGGCTTGCTCTCACCACTCAGACTCAACACCGCATGACTGGCTCAGGCCCACCCTGCCCAAACAGCTTTTTGCAGGAAGGCAACGATGGGCCACATAGACTTCGCCAAAGCAGCCACGACCAAGCGGTTCCCCGAGCTGCAGTGGCTCCTTAGTACACAAGACCCTCAAAGCAACCCCTTCTGTCGGCTAAGATCCTGACTGCCAATGACGCGCCAGTGAAAAGGAAGTCAATGGCTGTACGGCGTCGCTGCTCATGAAGCACATCCTGCCGCTTGGGTGACATGAGATGAAGCCAAGTCCAAGGAACACGTGCGCAAGTGCTCCACGGTCCTTTCCGGCACAAGCACTGATCACAGCGCAGCCCGTGATCTGCAACACCCACGCAAGTTGAGACACGACCTAGCGGCAAACCAAGGCCCAGAGGCATCCCAAGACAATCATGCAATGCCAACTAGCAAACCACAGACAAGTCGAAATGGATTTCGATCTCGCCGGCCAAGCTTTGCAACATCAACTCCAACTTACGACTGGCCTATTGCAACCTAGCGGCGGTCACAGAAGTCTCCAGCAGCGGCATGTTTCAACAGCTGAAGCAAATGGATCACTCTGAATGCCTTGAGCACAAATGGCTCCAAAGCTCATAGCCTGGAAACAGAGGCTATATCACACCCAGTGACAGGTAAACATGCGTGTTCCAAGGCAGCCATGCGTACCCAAGAGTCAAGTCAAGCAGCGCCACGTAGGATGCAGCTGGGAGTACGGATGGCTTCGGCAAAACAGCACAACGACCAGGACAAGCAATAACAAAGAAGAACATAGTCAGTCCAACTGGTGTCGCAGCAGAGACATGTGCCGAATACCAAGGAAGTAGGAATTTCACGAGTACGCACATCGCAGACTTCCACGAAAACTGCGGTGCAACTAGTGAAGCCGCCGCGAACATCATACAGCGCAACCGAGCCAAGAGCACATCAGAACACAACTGCAACGTGCTTGACCGACAACGGCACATCGCAAGTCTGCGCCAAGCAGGGACCCCAGCTCTTGCTTCACCACTGCTCCGTTGGCAATTTATCCCCGGGTTGTCACCACGTCCCCCCCTGCATGGGCACGCCCTTCCATACATAACTAACTCTTCCCAGATTCCAGACATCCTTTCCAGAACCCACAGCTCGTTGGAAAGAACGATGCTTGGAGCCCTCGCAACGTCGACGCCCATCCTGCAGCTTCTCGAGGCCGGCCGCGGCATCCTGTGCTCAGCTCGGACGCGGCAACCGATTTTACCGACTTTTGAGCCAAACGAAAATATGGGCACGGCTTCAAATGGAGGAACGTTCGAAAAGGGCGGCTTCTTCTTTTTGCATTAAAACATATTAAAACGCAGCCTCAAAGACATGCCCCACATCATGCCACATCCAGCTGGAAACCGCAAGTGGCCCCCAGGATGTGTCAAGGACAACAGGAACGTGACATGCTCACAGGCCTCAAGGTTTTTGCGAGTGAGTGAGACACCTTTGTGACAGCACTTGGCGCATGACATGCTCAGTCTCGTGCAGTGGTGCCGTGCCGTGCCACTTCGAGAAGTGGTCTTCATACAAATCACGTCACAGTGCCACAGGCTGCACTGTATAGGTCTGGGGGAAGGCTGCCGCCGAACTGCGGCACATGCTCACCCTGCGCGCGGCGGGTTCTGGCGCTCGCTTGGCTTAGATTTGGGCTTACCGCCGAAGGAAGCTTCTTTTTGCTTTGCCTTCAATCACCCCGCAAGTCTGTAAGGTCGCAAGGCTCTGCAAGCTCGCGACCCTTTTGATTTTGCAACCCGACAATACGGGTCACTGCTGGGGTCTTCCCAAACGGGAAGAACGGACAGAACTTGCCAGAGATACAAGGGTGAAAATGCACCCTCAGGTTGACATCGTTTGGATTCACATCCCCCAAACATGTTTGAGCCAGACGAGCCACAATCAAAACCCAGGCAAGTGAAGCAAGCAAATCAAGACGGAACCTGAAAGGGGTCCCTAATTCCCAAAAGGAGACCCCGAACCCAAAAACGATGGCTATTTGGGCTCCATGCCAGAACAGCAGAAAAGCGGAAACCGGCCGTTTATCCGCGGCCTGGAAACGGTCGAGCGGGTTCAAAAGACGCGCCGTGCCCTAGGCACAAGGCGAAGGACGTGACAACGCCACCGTGCTGCAAATCGATCTTCCCAGCCATTGGTATGTTAACAGAATACCTGGTTTGCAGCCCAATCAGGGACATGACAGAACCCTGAATGACAAAATGTCAGGGAACCGTTAGCAAAAGTAGCACTTGAAGCTTGGTCTTTTCGAAGCTCAAAGCAACGCTGGTCCAAGAAAGGGCTGCTGACAAACAAAATGCCCCAACTCAAGGCCAATCCTAGGCGAGTCAGCTGCCAATGCCGTACTATCATCAAACTCGGTCCCTGGTCGCTGGAGACGAGAAAGCCCCAAAACTACTTAACTTGATAAGGGCTAAGCTAACGATTTCGAGAACTCCATGGGGCGTCTAAGCAAAAGCACTGTCCAACAGGATGAAGGCCATGGGGCCTCCCCCCATAAAAAGCCGCGTTTGCCCACACGAACAGGTCCATAGAGGTCACCCAGAAGCATCTGCTCCATTTCGCGCGTCTCGACACCTGAACGGCCACTGAGTGTCAAACCACATGAGATCCTTTCAACCCCCTCCCCAAACGCCACCCAATCCCCAAAGCGGCAGTTGGTAAACTCTAGCCTTGCCATGCGTGACTCCCGCCTCCGAGGAGGCGAGGCCCATGAACTGCATGCGCTGGGTCTCTGTGCCAGGCCCACCTCACGGAAAATGCGCCGCGAAACCGAACCAGGCGTCTCATGGGCAAAACTTCCTTCTCGTTTTTCTGCAGACTGGTCCTGGCAAAAACAGTCTCGCCACTTACCTGGGCTTGGATTGTGGCTCATCTGTACTGTAGGGAACCCCCAACATGTCACATGAATCCAAAATGACGTCAAGAATCGGATCCCCAAAAAAGGACAGAACAACACAACACAGAACAGAACAAACACAAACAAACAAACAAACACAAACGAAACCAAACAAAACAACACAGGACAGAACAAAACAATACAGAACAGAACAAAACAAACAAACAAGCACATAAACAGGCAGGCAGGCAGGGAGGCAGGCAGGCAGGCAGGGAGGCAGGCAGGCAGGCAGGCAGGCAGGCATACCGGCAGACAAACGAACAAAAAACAAAAGACACACACACACACACACTTTGGCCCTCCACTACAATTGGGGCTGATTTCATTGGTCTGCCCTTTGCTGGCTGGTCATTTCGGAAAAAAAAAAACTATGGCAAGGGCAATTTCCCGAGACCAGCCCCCAGTTGAACAGCATTGCAGGCAAGGATCATGAAGGGCTATTGTCAGCCAGGCGTCCATGTCTGACCGGCATCTCCGAGCCGAACCCTGCTAGCTCCTGGCGCCGTACGGCACGTGGACAACAAAACCCAAGAGAAGCCGCCTCCCTCCTGTCTTGTACCGTGCAAAATGATGCTGACGCCCGGCAGACTTGCGGCCTTTTGATGGAGCAGGCGCGTGAAACCTCTTTGCAGCTGCAACATGTGCAACATGAGCCAACTTTAAGAAAAATCGAGAATCCAAGCGCAATTGTCCATGAAAAGCTCTATGGTTGACATGCCCGAGGCATACTGAAGAATCACTGAAGCAAAATTTCGAGTACTCGTCAGTGCTCCTCGACCATTGCATGGGACAAGATACACAGGTGTCTAGTAGCAATTGGCTCATTTTGGGCTGGGCATTGCATTGAACACCTCGGTAATCTGAATTCTGAATCAAGCCTTCCCAGGCAGCAGGGATACCAGCCGAGGAATCCTTCACTCCAGCCCCTGGTGTGCCTTCTCAGGCTGGCGGTGGTGGGGGTGCAAACGGAGGGGGCGGGGGCGCAAAAGGTGGCGGCGGGGGTGCTTTCACCGGCGCCGTGGAAATCGCACCTTGGCGGACTTCCCACAGCACCTCCTGCACTGCCGCCGCGAAAACGGTCTTCGCCTCTCTCGGCTCAGTCGCCACCGACAGGCGCTGCAGGTGTGTGCTGGACCTCACCCAGCTCGACGTCCACACCTGCCGCTTGACTCGGGGCAAATCAATCGTTGCAATGCGCGCCGCATTGGCCTGCATTCTGCATTGCTTCTAGGCCCGCATGAACAGCCAAGTTGTCAGAAAAATGGATCATTCTCCATCAGATCGCAGAACTTGCTTTCGCTGGCTTTCTCATGGCTATCTAGCTGCCAACAAAGTGGTTTTCCACATCTTGACGTGAGCCTGACGCCGAGACAGCGCGGCCTCGGCCACTGCCATGGCGTCGTACACCAAAGTGGCCAAGAACACGGCCGTCGCAAAGGTGTTGACTCGGCAGGCTGGGTCCTGCATTGCCGCCAAGCGCTGCCTCAGCCGAACCGCTGCAATGCAACGCATGCAAACTGCCTCTCCTCGTGGCGTTGTGGGAGGATGGTTGAAATCATGTCTTCGAAAGGCGACAGCCAATCCAAGCGTTTCAGACTTCTCATGTCTTGCCATGTCTTGCCATGTCTTGCC